AGCTGACGTTTCGGGCCTAGACCTTTCTGAAGAAGGGTCTATTCCTGAAACGTCAGCTTTCCTGCTCCTCTGATGCTGCTTGGCCTGCTGTGTTCATCCAACTCTACACCTTGTTATCTAAGCAATTTATTTGTTATCTCAAATTATGAGTATAAGAGAAAGTATTGGAGCTCTCTCACATAAGCACACAGACTCAAACACACAAGATTTGTGTGTAATCGGTCTCAATTCAGAAGCTTTGGGAAGGTATATTAAATCTTAAATATCAAAGATCCACCAAATAATGAGGCATTGATTCATTTTTAAGATAATTATTCATCAAAATCAGTTTTTAAGATCATTGTGTGTGAAAATTATATTGAATTACTGCACCATTCTGGCATTAAACTAATTTATATCTTGAGGTGCCTCATTCATTCCATTGTAGAGCTCAACAGGATTGTTGAAGTCTCTTTGAGCTGTTACTTACACTGTTGTCCCTCACTCTCACTGTGGCAGCTTTCTCCTTTTCATTCTCCCCTACACTCCCAAAGCCCCTTTTATTTAACTGAGAAACATTTCATCATCTGACTGTGTATCAGGTTGAGCAATGTGTTTTCCATCTACCATTTCCAGGCCAGTCAATGGCAATTGAGTTCCACTGAGTAGCAAACTGGGGAGTTAGACTGGAGGAATGTAATAATATCTCGCAGCTATACTAGCAGTAACCTGAGCGCCACTCACTCACTGCTGTGTACTGCATTGGGTCTTTAAACAAAACTGTGGCAGATAAGGACTGTCCAAGCAGCAAAATTAATACTTTCATAGACTACAAGTTAAACAAATGGTAGAGCTGTTTGTTAGCACTTAGAAATATGAAACAAAAAGCCACCAGCTAATGGGATGCCAGTATATTCATCATGGTAATACACCCAAATGTACAGCAGGTGAAATCTTTAATTGATCTCCATTTAAAACACAACATTATGAGATTCTTGTGGGTTGTGAAAGTGTCCCTACCTTTGGGCTAGAGGACCTTGGCTCAAATCCCATCTGCTGCAGAGATGTGTTATAACATCTCTGAAGAAGTTCATTAAAAATACCTCAAAAACAAAAGCAATGATAAGGGCTGAGAGATGGCAAGAATTGCAGATGCTGTAGTCAGAGAGAACACAGTGTGGATCAGGAGGAACACAGCAGGCCAGGCAGCATCAGAGGAGCAGGAAAGTTGTCGTTTTGGGTTGGGACCCTTCTTGTCCGGTCTGGTGGTATTGTCCCTACCTCTGAGTTAGGAGGCCTGGCTTCCAATATCACCTGTCCAAGAGGTGCACTGTCATTCTCTCCCTGGAAGGCTGTGGTTGGACCGAGAACTATTGTTCCTTCCTCTTGCTCTGAGCACCGCATTCAGACAGCATGTCCATTCCCTGCTTCGATACTTCAGACACTCCTGGGTTCCTG